ATATAAAACCTAGATATTTAAATAAAGAATTATTAAAGCTATTTAATAATATTAATTATAATTTATTTGCTTTAGTAATTAGTCTAATATAACTAATTTTAGTTTATTCTTATTATTTACTTTTAGTATTTTTAACACTAAGGCTATAACACAATCTTAACAATTTTGATGTTCATAACGCTAAGGCTATAGCACAATTTCAACTATTTTGATCTTCCCTATGCCAAGGCTGCAGAATAACCTCAACACTAAACACGGGTACCCCTTAACACTAAGCTCTATAAGGAAGGATGCTTATTACAAGGATATTCAGGGTCACAAGGGATAGTGTTTGCCTAGTTAAATTTTATCTTCTTTGTCTTATAGCAATTTAGTGATTATTCGATAAATTTAAGCATAATTTAGGCATAGATACTGCCTCTATAGGTCTCAAAAATACTGAATAAGCACTTTTTCTTCTTGTTTTGAGAGGCGTTACGAAATACGATCGGTTTCTGCCCTAGAGGGTCATTCTGCGCGTCGATAGGCCACGGTGGATTTCGGCACGTTGTAGTAATCCGCAGCCTTGCGAATTGAGCTAAATAGCCCTGGATCAACGTTATTTGATGCATTCTGAATCAAATGCTCCTTCTCTGAGTCCATTTGGAGCTATATTGGTGGAGCTATAGCTGTTCGAAATATGAGGATGCCTGCGCGTTGGTGTGCAGAAATTGGCCCGGTAAGTGGGGTGGCCCGCCAAGTGGTAGTGTACGTTAGTATGTAGTTAAGCCTGGTAAAACCAGAAAGCAGTCCGTTTCCCTTTAAGTTGTCCTGGCGTTCAAGTTCACAGCCGAGGCCAAGCTAGATATGTACCAATCGATCCCGGTGCCCAATGCTCCCCCAAAAAAAACAATCCAAAAATTCTACCTCGTTTCCACCCACCAAACCATTGACTCACTCACTCACTCAACAGTCTTGTTCTCCCGCTATCCACCCTCCGGCACTCTTCCCCCCCACTCCATCCCTCCCACACCTCCTACATCCCCCTTCCAGACCTCCAAAACATGGGCCGAGAGCGACAAAAAGCCAAGAAGCGGTCCTCCATCCCGAAAACCAAACCCAGCCTCCGCGGCCGCACCAAACACGGCAAGAAGAAAGTCAATTTCCTAGGAAATGCCGTGGTCGCTGAGAATTGGTATGCCAATGGTGCCCCGTCTTTGCCTCTCTCTCTCTCTTTATCACATCTGGCAGACTTGAAGCTGAAGTAGGACGGACGGTATGATTTAGGGATCGCGACCTCACTCTTCTGCAGAACTACCAGAGGTTGGGCCTCACGTCGAGACTGCGTGCTGCGACTGGGGGCGTGGAGAAGAAGGTGAAGCGTGCGGGGCCTGGTGTTGTAGGTAGTGGAGATGGGGGTGAGGAGGAGGAGGTGGATAAGTTGGCGATGCCGGGGAGGAAGAGGACTACGAAGCTCGTGCCGGGAGAGGTTAGAGTAGAGAGGGATCCGGAGACGGGGAGGATATTGCGGGTCATACGCCCGGAGTCTGGATCAGATGGCTTGGATGAGAGGCATAAGCGGAAGAGATTGGATGATCCGCTGAATTCGGATTCTGGGTGCGAGAATGAAGACGCCGCGACTGCAGACCCTACCCGGGCGAGGAGGAGAGAACCAGCTACAGATGTGGTTGCGGCGCTGGAAGCACAGGCTGCCGAAGAGGCTGTACAGTTGGCGAAGAGGAAACGGCCGCGGCAGCAGAGTAAGAGGGAAGAGGAGTGGATTGCGACCTTGGTGGCGAAGTATGGAGATAATACTGGGGCTATGGCGAGGGATAGGAGGCTGAATCCGATGCAGCAGACAGAGGCGGATATCGGGAGGAGGGTTATGAAATGGAGGGATAGGAGGGAGGAGGGCTCTTTGGTAGAAGCCATAGTAGTTTGATTCACAACGCTGTCGACAACCAAGAGTTGACAAGCACACACGTCTCTGAAAGGAGGTTAGGAAGCCGAAATGAGCAGCCTTCTTGGCTAACACAATGCTCCTGAACTGGCTATGCTGTGCTGTTTCGCCAGACATGTCAACCCAACGCCAATCTTATGCACATATCCCAATTCTCTACGTTCGCTCCACTCATAAAATGATCAAAAAGGGACTCTTTTTATGCCGGATAAGAGCCACATAGCACCAGGGAGCACTGTAGCTCTACTCATTGTAATGATACACCTGCACGATTTGTTAGAAGCCTTTCAATTATAACCCAGCGTAAGGCACTCACGAAATAATTCGGCAAACCCCAGCTCTCCCAACCCAATCTCCTGGCCATCTTTGCGAATCCTTCCGTTTCCACCAGATGATAGAAGGGGAACGGCGGGAACATAGCTCCGTCCCGGTGTACCTCAGCCTTAACCATCAAAGCTGTTCCTCCCACACCGTCGAGCGGCATGATCTTTCGCTGATCACTTCGGCTATCTGTATCTCCCAGATGTGCCATTAGTGTACGATACGTGGCCATCTCTGAGTATCCCTCCAGCAGAATCTCATCTGGTCCCATCTTTGCTGCAAGCTCTTGTGCTGTATCGCTGTCTCGCCATGAATTGTAGTCATAAGGTCTGACCTCTTCGGCATTGGTGTCGGTGTTGTAGAAACGTTGGAAGCAGTTAGGTACGATTATTGGCTTGTCGAATGATGTGAGGTCTTGTATCAGCCCCGGAGGGGTCTCGATTATGTCGCTGTCAAGCCATAGGACCCACGAGGTATGAGGACCCAGGGTTGTGAAAAGGAGCGAATTCCGAGCTCGCGCCATCGATGTCCGCCGTATTTTCTGGTTTTCCATCTTGTGGCGTTCAGCTTCGCTCTGGGAAGTCAGCGGTGGTTCGAAGTCTTGTCGAATAATTGTGATGCTTTGAAATCGGTCTGATTCAGGTCCTGATTGAGTCTTGGCAATGGCTCTCTGAAGCTCTGTTGTCGCCTTGTTGCCATCCGTGGTTTTTGGTATGATGAAGCCTAGCGAGATATACTCGTGTGGATAAGTGAATTTGAGAATATTGTCCCAGTATTCTTGGTAGAACTTGGTTGTAGGGGTTAGGATGAGGATTCGTTCTTTATTGGCTATGGGATTCGCAGTCGACGTAAGGTTATTCAGTTGGTAATGAACGACGGGAGGAGGTGAGCGTCGTCCATTGGGATTTGACGATTTGCGAAAGGCGGACGTTGGTGGTGATAGAGGGTTGGCAGCGGCTGCATCGGATATCCTCTGTCGGGTTGCTACGGACTCTGGATCTGAGGAGGGTGTGAAGATGAAAAGTAGAACCCCGACAAATAGTACGAAGGCCAGCAGGGTTGTGATGCCCCCTCGTCCGCGAGACATGCGTTTGATGGCCATGATGTGAGCTGTTCTCAAGATCTTCGCCTAGCCCGCGTCCGCAACGAAATCATGGTGAGGAAGCACACGAACAGAAAGACGCGCAATAAGAAACTGACGTAGCAAGGACAGTTGTGTTGCTGGGCTTATTACGCAGTAAGGAGTGTATCTTGTAGTGATTCGCCTTGTAATGTCTGGACTTTCTGTCAGCGTACCGGGCTGAAACAAGAAGTTCTGTCTGCAGGTGCACGGCCCCCTTGGATTTATGGTAACTATTATCTCGCTTGCATTTGATTGACTTTGTCCAGCCTGCAAGTAACGATACTTAACGAATACGAACGTCAAGGCGGACTACTTGTGTCTGCAACCTGAATCGAGGTTGGTCTACAACTATGCAAACTAAATAGCTTCCTGTGCGTTGTGCAACAAGCACCTGCGGTCTCGACACCCTCAAACATTAAATTGTTGCTGCAGCAAAAATCGATCGACCATGCCTGTTGCTGTATGCGTCTTACTTGCAAGGGCAATGCTTACAGCACCTGGAGCTTGCCGAGCAGGCAGGGCCCCGCTGTAATCATGCAAAGGACGAAAGAAGGATGTGAGGATGAGACATATGTTGCGAGAAGAGCAAGACAAGACTCAAACGAGTCCTTTCCTCCTTACATGACATCGACTTGAGTTGCTCACCACCAAAGCAGACAAGAGATTGTTGAGGCACTGATCTTGCTGCCTTGATTCTATGTTCTCAAGCTGTATACATGAGTTCATCTTGGCTTCTCCGACTAAGACTGTATGTCACGCCAGGTACTGACGCTCTACACCACGAGAAGGTGTGAACTCGGCGCAAAGCACACGGTAGCAAGCTCTTGCTACCATGCGGTCGAGGTGCCTGACGAACTTGCCATGCAGACTTCCTTCGACCTCATAGCTCAGTGTGACCGCCTTTTTACCTCCGCTAGCTATGCCAACTATTGCTTTGCTGTCATGACTAGGAGCAGACTGGTGGTTGGCCGAATATTATTTGCAAGGCATTGCCCCTCTATGGATCTAGGCACTCACCTGAGCCAAGGAGGGTGCCAATGCGTGAAATGGTATTGATGCGCTTCTGCATCAATGGTTGTGACTGTCAGCTTCTTTTCTATATACCAAGTTCTGAGATCTCCAGGCGAGAAACGGCAACTTGATTCTGGTTGGAATGAGGCTTTCCTCTGATGGAAGGTTGGTGCAGGCTCTGGGCATGTAGTCCCGATTGCTTCTGGAGATGATTTGGGTATTTCTCTTCCATCCTACTTTGACCGATTCGGCTCCAGTGTCAGGTGCTTGAGACTTGAAATTTGCTTGTGCCTCCGCACGGGAGTCTCGACCTGAGTACTCGAACGCCTGACATCTCAATGGTTGATTTTGCTGCTGGCACACCTGACTCTCTTGGAGTGACCAGACTGCTAGATTCCCATTCTTGTTGCATTTGGTTCCGGCTCAACACTCTCCACCGAAGGTGTGCCTGCAATCCAGTCTATATTCGTGGTCCCGGCGCAACACTCGATTCGGCTCTCCACAAGCCTAAGACCGTTGTTCTTTGTCCTACCTCAATGCGTTGGATTACTCCGAGCGAGGAAGAAACACGAGGCCTTACTTGAAGTCATTGTGTTTTGCTTATGCACCCTAACTTCTCTGCTGCTCCTTCCTCGGTCGGGTTTATTGATCGACTAGATCGAACCATTTGTGAGACATGCTCACATTCTCGACTTCACCAGCCGACACTTCGTACAGTGTTGTATGATTTGTAGGTAGGTCAAGAAGATCAAGCCCGACAGCATTGAGAGATAAATCACCAGTAGGACTGCTAGGATTCACTCATTTAGAGCATCTTCATCTAAGGCACGCCGTCATATCGCAAGCAAGTCTGCCCGCCACGTTGTTGTGCCGACTCAGACAAGATGCAGATCTGAATAGCAAAGCCCTTGGCAGTGTTCGTTTTCTTGGTACTCCGTAGATCAATTATGTAGCGATCGCCGCTACCTCCACCCTTTACACTGATGCCAGACGCGTGACAACACTCCTAATCGACAACTTTTGTTCGTGCTGGCCTTTGTGGCGGATCGGAAGCTCATGAATCAAAACCTATACAAACATCCCTGATCGATACCTCTGGTCCATGTGGCTTTTTTTGACAGTTCGTCGGTCAGCTCGTAATCAATTCTACACTAGAAATCTCGTGCTCGAGTGTAGGGTAGTTGTGAACATTTTCCGGGTCATCTCCTTTGCAGCAAATGTTTCTTTTTGGATGGATCGGTCTAGCTCACAATGCTCTCCGCCCAGCACATTCTGTGATGTCCAAGTCAGATACATCGTAACTTTCGCGGATCTATACCCTTATTTTCTTTTCTTGGCGGACCGAAGCTTGGCGCCAAAATTTATGGCAGTTAAGGATTCTGCATTTCTATCTACCCCCCTCTAATAGGGTATGGCCTTCCCAAAACGCTCTTGCAAACAAGTTACTCTATCTGGCATGGTAGAGATGGCATTATTGATTTCCTCAATGGTGATTTTATCCCATTCCTCTTGGATAGCAGCCTTCAGCGCCTCAGTTTGGAAGATGACCCCCCTAGACTTCAAACGCTGCTTTATTATCCTCCAAATAGTCTTAATAGAATTGAGATCTGGCGAATTAGAAGGCTAAGCTTGCTATTTGATGTTAAGCTTGATTTTTGCTTGCTTAACCTTGTTATTAGCAACACCCTTTGTGCTATGTGATCCATCATTATCTTTGATCAGAATAAGATTTTCGTCCTATTCTAGAGCAACAACCTCCTCTAAAATCTTGATATAATTAGCTTAGATAAGTCGCCCGCCTTTCCCTGTGCCTATGTAGAAGTAAGGGGTGTCCTTAAAGGTCTAGCTAATAATTATATAGATATAGATAATCTAATTTTTGTGCTTAAGTTTATATTAGGTTTTTAAAAGCTTTTCTTAATTTTCCTAGCTATAATAATAATAAACTAGGGCCTATTATTAAAGGCTAGTAGTAAAATAAGACTTATTATATTATTAATACTTTTTAAAATCTTTTAGGTTATAATAATAGTACTTAAATACCTAAAAATTATATACTTTAATTCAGTATATTAGTAGCTATTTCTTTTATAATATATAATATATTTTTATATTAGAATTAGTTATATTTCTCTTTAAATTATATATTTAAAGTCTTTAGCTAGACTAATAATCTGTGCTACCTTAAAGTAGCTTAATAATATAAAGCCAAAATTTGTATCTTTAACTATCTGTTACAGCATGTAAACACGCCAAGCACAAACAGGCACTACAGGATTGCCTAGCGCTCTGCAAAGAAGCTATAACATGCTTGGACAAGCCTAAGGACCCTGAACTGCTTACAAGGTTGGTACCTCCTGACGTAGTGTTCAGAAGTGCTCAAGCATGAGCACTTAGGAACAATGCTTGAGGACGTCTCCGCATAAGCAACGCTCAAGGACGTCTCCGCACAAGCAATGCTATAAGGTGTTCTGTCGTGAGCACTCATGAGCACGAATCTTCTAGCCTATATAAACACGCTCATTTCCCAGGTAGTTTCATAGTCTTCGTAGTCAACTCATGTTATCAGCTCATACCTAAGTTGAAGACATCCTAGTATTGTTCACTGCACTTCCTGTTCTACCTAACCAACCCACTTGGACCCAGCTTCTAGTTGAGACTTGTCTTAACCAGTTGAGCCCTAACACTACCTTAATTGCTTCACACTAATAAGGAGCAAGAACTAGTTTCCGGCCGTGATTATACACCCTCTCGCTATAGCGCGCAGTTCCTTCTTTAATAACTTGATAGCCAGTTTGATTAGCTACATTATGTATCTTAAATAGCTGCGTACGAGGTAATTTGCTAGCTGTAAAACGTGCGTTGGCAAGAAGGCGCATACAGCGCGGTGTATCAAGCATCGTTTGAGGGGCCCTAGGAGCCTGAGGAGAGGGAGGATTCGAACAAACGCCATCTGCAGGGGCACGGCGGCGACAAGGGAGCTCTCTAGCCATTTTGGAGTTGATTCTGACTCGCGGTGAGATTATGTAGAGGAGGAGGATCCTTAACTGCTATAAATTTTAGCGCTAAGCTTCAGACCTGTCCGACTACAGCGGACTGTTGACCAGTTACAGTTAATTCAAATTTTTGAAAACCAAATTTGGATTTTGAAAATCAAATCTGAAAACCAAAATTAATTTTTGATTCCTCTTAGCCCTTAGAAATTATTTCATTCTAACTTTGGTATTATTAAAAAGATTTGAAAAAGTGGATCAAACTTATTATATAAGTTAAAGTCTCTAAATTATCTAATTATGTAATCACTTTTATAGGATATATATAGATATTCTTAGAATATATATTAGATATATAACAAGATAAAAGTGTTTTGAAGTGCTTAAAGAAAAAGAAGAAAATCTATTAATCAAGGGAATTCATCATCCTTATATACTATAGTAATTTGCCATCAAATCCCCTAGAATGTGCTAGATATCCTTGATTTCTAATCTTGATTTCTAATCATAAAATAACTATAGAATAGCTATAGAATCTATTTCTAATTAAATTCTTGCAATAGCTTGAAACTAGAACAAGTCAATAGTCTATAGATTGCTAAAACGTAAGCTAAGGAGTCTATCTACAGCGCGGCTAGCGCTCTGATCTATATATTCCTCCATCAGGCGCCAGAGGTGCTACTAACTAACCTACGCAGAGGATCTAACAGAGCATCTGCAGGGCCAGAAGCGGTAGCTTCCTTCTTAAGGAGATTGTACGTCCCCAAAGGGGCTATCCCCTCCGTACTTGGACAGGGGTGTAGAATGCCTTAATTAGCGCTGTCGATCACTGCAGGGGGTCTAAAATGTTAATCAACACCCTATTTGAGCGAATTAGGGCTATATTATCTAGTAATTAACCCTAATTAAGTAATAATACTATATTTAGCAGTCTCCTTTAATATATAGCCAAACTTAGCATTTTAAGCACTCATA